AGGGCTTTTGTGGTTTAATTCATTTTGGCAAAATGAATATTATCCCTTTTTGAAAGAAGTGAGTGGCCCTGAAAAGGGTCTTTTGGTGTTTGTTTTATATCAAAATCAAACTTAGGAATTATCAGCAATCCGCTTAAGTCTTATCCTGGATCACATCTTCTTCTGTCAATTATTTGGTAGAAATCACTAGGGGTGATATCTCCGTTGTGGCTTGGGAAGGTCTTTGTCTTTTGGGTCTTAATAAAGGAGTCTGATGTTTCTGATTTCTTAACTCTGCCAAAATTACCAAGAGTACCATTACAGTTTGAGGTTCACTGTTCTCCATCTCTTCTAGACTTTGTTTCTTCTTTGTGCTTCTTCCTGTTGTTTCCTTCTTGTCTTTTCTTCTCGCTGTTGCTGTTCATGGAGAAATGCTTGTTCTGCTTCTTTCTGCTGTTGAAAAAGATCCTTATTTCTGTCTCTGTTTAATTTCGTCGATGTGTGGTAGAAAAAGAGAAGGTGACGAAGGTGGTGATACCAGAATTAATTCTTGTGAAGAAGAAAAAGAAAGAAAATCTGCTAAATCCCTATTGAAATCAACCTCTTGTGGTAGTAGTCCTGTGTTGACTTTGGTAAACACTGATATGCCATTGCTTGTCGTTTCCAAAGCCGGTTCATTGTTTTCTTAGTTTCCGACATGTTTCACGACACAATGTCGCATCGATTCACTGCACATAGACGCCAGCGCACTTATATAGGGAATGTGACGTCTCATGTAACTCTTCGGATTGGAAGACGGACTCTGCGAAGTGACTGAAATGTGTAACGCATGTTGCGATTGGTGAACATTTTCAGTCCGTTTCGATCCGCTCTTCCACTATAAATAAACACGGTTCAATTTATTCCTTTCACCTGTTCTCGTCACAGAGATGTGGACCAAATTTGAAGTGTTTACCTTCCTCTCGTCGATGCCGTTTCGTACGGACTTACATACGTATGTGAGATCATCATGGAGGATCATTAGGATCACCGAGACAAGTGTTTGGAAAGAAGGACTTATGTGGAAAGACAAGGATGTCTGAAAAGAGTCCTCAACTACGATCCAGAAGTTAGTCGAAGTTTAAGAAAGAGAAGAAGATCAGTAAAATGCCTTCCATGTTAACGGAATGGTGTTAACATTACAAACAACGGCACCTTTCAGGGCCAATCCACTGCCTCAAAAAGATTTTTTCTCGCTTAAGATACTTTAATTCCATTTATTAATTTATATTTAACTCCCTAAACATTACTCTCTTACCTAAATATCTTTTAGTCGATTGCATAATATTTGTATGACAGATTGTTGTTCATCAATCTACGAAAAAATCGATTATATAAAATATACTATACTATCCACTTACGCGCTGTTCATATGAGAGTAAGTTTTGGTGTTAGGGAATGGTTGCCTTCACGTCCTTGCTGCAAGGATATAAATCGGTGCGATCGTCAGTTTGGATACCTGTCGTCAAAGAGACAACAGTAACAAAATGAGCAATAGAATTGCTAAATTGCTTGAATATCAAATGCACCCGGAGTATTCCATACGCATTTTGGATGCGCTAGCCATGGAGGCCGTTGCAGAAAGTGCCAGACTTGAGGAAGAGGAGGATAAAAGAAGAAGGAAGAGCAGAATGTAATAAAAAAGAGGGATCCTGCCTCATCTCATGAGATCTCTGTCTGAGGTGAAACTTCGGGCGAGGACACCTCCACAAGCACTACAACCAAAACGACATCCATAGCCACAACCATATTCAACCGTAGAAAGATTCACTGCCCATCAGAAGGAAAATTGGGATGGTGGAGGTTTTGGAGGAATTAGAAATACAGCGGCAAGAATGGAAGCCGTAGCAACATCATCCACGGCAACAAGACAGAAGACGGAGGGTAGTCTTCAGAATCCCAGTAAATGAAGATTGCAGATCTGAAGCCAGTTATTTTCTCTCTGAGCTCTCAAGAACAAACATCAAATGGGAGCAGAACTTGAGCCAACGTTCCATGTGTGGTACCCGCCGAGGTAGAATTAACCATTAGTCCGGTCTATTTGCAGTAAAATTTGAAGTAAAAGAGATAACAGCTCGTCTCAGGGTTGACCAATACGCTAGAATACACAGTCTATTCAAGTTGAGAATTTGTGTGAATGTAGAGTAGTGGTACTATAAACATTTATCCCTATCCGTTTGTGTGTGTGTGTGTGTGTGTGTGTGTGTGTGTGTGTGTTTTCATTCGCTTTCGTTGGTGTGAATAGTTTATGCGCTTGTGTTGTATGCATTTGCGTCCGTTGGTGTGGATAGTGTAACGTGTATGTTTCATGCTTTCGCATTCGTTGGTGTGGATTGTAAGTATGGTGTGTTTATGCATTCCTATTTATTGGTATGGATAGTAGGTATGGTGTGTTTTATGCATTCGCGTCCGTTTGTGTGGATATTACAATGTGGTGTTTCATGCATTCTCGTTCGTTGGTGTGATAGTAAATAGGTGTGTTTTATGCTTTTTTCTTTGTTGGTGTGTATAATAGATGTGGTATGTTTGATGCATTCGTGTTCTTTGGTGTAGATAGTAGGTATGGTGTGTTTTTTCTTCTCTTCCCGATTGTGTTGATAATATATATGGTAATTTTTGTGCGTTTTCGTTCCTTGGTGTTGGTAGTAGATACTACGTCTAGTGAGTGCAATTGATGTTTTCGTTCACGTACGTGCTTGAAGAATATAGCTGAGAACGCTAGTCAATCTGGCTTTCTGCGTTGACTTGACTAGTTAACATAATCTGGAATTGTTTAACGAGTTAAAAGAGTTACTTTTGGATGGTTTATGCAGCCTACGTGATGGAAAGGCTACAACAGGAATGGAACTATCCAGATAGCCAAGACTTTGTGACCAGTCAAGCAAAGAATCTGAAGGTAGCCAGAGATAAGGTGGCAGATATGATAGAACAGGAGGTGGAGAAGTTAAGAGATTTTATCCATCGTAAATATGTGGAAGTGGGAACATTAGAGGACGCACATAATAATGTCATTTATGTGATAAGCTTTTTAGAAGAGCAAGCAAATTTTACGGAGTGGTCTTTTGCCTTATGGTGATTAGATAATTTAAGGTAATCTGAAAACCTAATGAAAAAATTGATGCAAGAAGATTAAAGAAAATCAAAGACACATGGACAAAAGAGAAAGGAGAAGGAAAGCAAAAAGAGAAAGAAGAGTTGGAAATACTAAATCAAAACTGGATGAAGGTACAGGAAACGTTTAGAGAGATGTGAGATCCTACTTTATGCCAGACGAAGAAAAGAAAAAGAAGAACGGAATTATTGGAAAAGTGAAGAACTTATGGAAAAATGGAGATAATGGAAGAAAAAGAACCCAAAGGTCCTTTTAGGGCCACTCTACTGCCTCAAAATGATTTAGTCTTCTTTGTCTCAAAAAGATTATTCGATTTTAAAATGTACCTTTCTACTCACAAAAACATTATTCTCAAATCTATTATTTTTCAGTCAGTTGTATAATTTGTGTATGATATTATAATATCCACAAACACGAACGCGAATGATCCAAACTTCATGTAGAAATGACACCGGTGGCATGGCGTCACGATACTTGCCATATACTATCCACAAACACGAACGCAAATGATTCAGGCTTTATATAGAAATGACACAGTTAGCATGACGTCACTGTGCTACATTGTTGAAATTGTCCAGTACCATGCCTTACCTATTCCATTTCTCTCTTATGGCTATGAAGGCAGGGTCTAGTTTGGTAAATTGGCCCTTGGTAAATTTCTTAACTTAAGGCTATGATGTGATATTTTCAGCTATTATTGTTTGATAATTAAAGATATAGCAGTAAACAAGTGGGTTTGGCTTAAGTAGAATATCTCAGAAACGACTTGGATGACAACTATTTTCAATTGCTTCAGCCTGTTTAGTACACATTGTTTTGCAGAATTATCATCTAGGAAAAGGGCTTGTGTTTGCAGTGTGAGCATCAGATGGTGTAAAATATGACCTTCCGAAATGAAAATTGCAGGTATAAATTTGGGGTTAGGGTGAATAAACGTATGCTATGGACTGCCATTTATTTCTCTGGTCAAGAGAATAATATTCTTAGGCTTTGTTTTAATATAGGTATCTAAAAATATGGTTCTTTTTACCCCACTTATGTATTTGATTTTTTAATGATTTTTTTTGTACTAGGTCACTGATTGCGACATTAAATTTGTACATGAAACTATCCCCGTCCCCTCTGCAAAATTCTCATTGTCCCTATACTATCCCAGGGTGATTTTGTTTGTCCCTATAGTATCCCAAAGGGGTTGGGTTGGGTCTGTATTGTATTTTCCCATTGTCCATATAACATCTCACTATACCACTTTCAGTGCTTATAGTTGCGAGTCGCACCAAAGTTGATATTTGACTCTTGTCTATTACTTGTCAGTAAATTGTTTTTGTTGTTTTTTATTTTTGTATTTTGTAGCAGATGAATATTAACGAGAGAGAGAGAGAGAGAGAGAGAGAGAGAGAGAGAGAGAGAGAGAGAGAGAGAGAGAGAGAGAGAGAGAGAGAGAGAGAGAGAGAGAGAGAGGGGGATAAGGGATAAGTGCCAAAGGGTATTTTTTTTGTCAGTCTCTGTTTCTCCGTTGGTCGATTTGTCTCATGCAATACCAACCAACTAACTATACGTTAGATATATAACTAGAACAACAAACATTAAATAGATTACCGTGTGTGTGTGTGTGTTTGTGTGTGTGTGCCCCTTTCTCTCTCTCTTTCTCTCTCGTTGATTATGATTTTTAATGTAGCTTTAACAATTTTTCAATCATATCGTTTTGTTGTCTGTAGTGTGGTAGTGTAAAGGTGATGCCGCAGACATGTGGCATGATGTCTCACCGAGTGAAATTATCCTGACATCAGGCCGACCAGTCCTAAAAAAAACCTCTTATTGTTGAGCGTCTAGCGAGGCGACTGTTAGTACCATTTTAAAAGTTTTGAAATGACTGAGCCGGGGTTCGAACCCGCGAACTCCCGCATCAGAAGCGGATGCTCTAACTACTAATCTACAGGAGCGGTCGATACCTTATACACAGTACATAAATGATTTGAGTATATGATTTGATAATTAGTTCTAAATTGATCAACATTATTTTATATAAAATATTTATTAGAACTTCTATAGCTGAAACTTTGATATCTCCTTCTGACCAAGGAATACTATCCTGTATTCAGTCACTAACCAATTTAGCCAAAACTATGTGTTGGATATAATAAAGTGCACAATTACCCTCCCCCCTTTCCTATTGTTTTAAAAGTGCTCAGCGGCGTTCTTTATATATCTACATTGCCAGTCCCCAAATGATGTTCGTGTATGTATTTGTCCTTACCCAGCATCCTATAGAATTTTAAATATATACTATATGGATGTTCTTAAAATCTTAGTTCAAATGGTATACAGGAAATTCCAAAATTATATCATTACACGAATGTAAGATATCGTGCATAGTGTACAGGAAAGTCTCAAATTTAAATTCCAGTCGCAAGGGTTTTTTTCAAACTAGAATTGTCTTTTTAATATTGTCAAATATAGCCTATATCCAAGACATTTCGACGGAATATAAATCACTCAAAAGACAAATTTAAGATATCATTCATTTGATTTTATAAAACAATTAAATGAAGGAAACAATAGTATAATGAACGTGAAGTTATGGTAACATCCACTTGACTATGTATATCATAAATCGAATTTATTACACAACATAAGATAATAATAAAACGGCACATGATATAATTACACGATCATAGTATTTTGTTGCCCTATTGCTCACACATGCTTGTGAAAAAATATTAACATAAGATAAAAGTTTGAGATTTGTGCCGACAAAGTAGACTATAGACTAAATTTGGATGATCTGATTTCTTTTAGGCATGATCTTGTAAAAACTGTTCTTGGAGACTTTAACTAGAAGCCACATTATTCCTCGACGAAATTCTACTCAGATGTGAACACAGTGTGACTTTTCGGTTTAGATATTCGTCAGTTTGAAACATACACAATTTTATTTTTGTGACGTCATGTTTTCAAACGTTTACCTAGTTTAATCAACATGCAAAACAAATCTATATTAAAAGAAACAATATTTTCTTGAATCTACTTTGTGCCAGAGACATACACAATACATTAGTCTGGGGATACTCAATCATCAACAAAATCTTCGTCATCGTTACCACAGTCTTCTTTGTGCTTATAATATCTATACTCGATAAGAATATCCCAAGATAGGTAGTCTGAACATCGTCCGTGCGAGAAAAGGAATAAATAAACATTTTTTGTTACAAAAATCTAATACCACTCCTCGGAGCAGATATTTTTGCACTATACATAAAGGTAAATAATTATTTAAGCTTGCGAAAAACAAAACCTAACAAGACTGTGGTAACGATGACGAAGATTTTGTTGATGATTGAGTATCCCCAGACTAATGTATTGTGTATGTCTCTGGCACAAAGTAGATTCAAGACAATATTGTTTCTTTTAATATAGATTTGTTTTGCATGTTGATTAAACTAGGTAAACGTTTGAAAACATGATGTCACCAAAAAAATTTGTATGCTTAAAACTGACGAATATCTAAACCGAAAAGTCTCACATCTGAGTAGAATTTCGTCGAGGAATAATGTGGCTTCTAGTTAAAGTCTCCAAGAACATTTTTTATAAGATCATGCCTAAAAGAAATCAGATCATCCAAATTTAGTCTATAGTCTACTTTGTCGGCACAAATCTCAAACTTTTATCTTATGTTAATATTTTTTCACAAGCATGTGTGAGCAATAGGGCAACAAAATACTATGATCGTGTAATTATATCATGTGCCGTTTTATTATTATCTTGTGTTGTGTAATAAATTCGATTTATGATATACATAGTCAAGTGGATGTTACCATAACTTCACGTTCATTATAATATTGTTTCCTTCATTTTATTGTTTTATAAAATCAAATGGATGATATCTTAAATTTGTCTTTTGAGTGATTTATATTCCGTCGAAATGTCTTGGATATAGGCTATATTTGACAATATTAAAAAGACAATTCTAGAGTGAAAAAAAACCCTTGCGACTGGAATTTAAATTTGAGACTTTCCTGAACACTATGCACGATATATTAAATTTGTGTAATGATAAAAATTTGGAATTTCCTGTATACCATTTGAATTAAGATTTTAAGAACATCCATATAGTATATATTTTTAAAATTCTATAGGATGCTGGGTAAGGGCAAATACATACACGAACACCATTTGGGGACTGGCAATGTAGATATATAAAGAACGCCGCTGAGCACTTTTAAAACAATAGGAAAGGGGGGAGGGTAATTGTGCACTTTATTATATCCAACACATAGTTTTGGCTAAATTGAATAGTGACTGAATACAGTACATTATTCCTAGGTCATAAGGGGATATCCAAGTTTCAGCTATAGAAATTATAATAAATATTTTATATAAAATAATGTTGATCAATTTAGAACTAATTATCAAATCATATACTCAAATCATATATGTACTGTGTCTAAGGTATCGACCGCTCATGTAGCCTAGTAGTTAGATCATCCGCTTTTGATGCGGGAGTTCGCGGGTTCATACCCCAGCTCAGTCATTTGAAGACTTTTAAAATGGTACTAACAGTCGCATCGCTAGGCGCTCAACAGTAAGAGGTTATTGTTAGGACTGGTCGGCCTGGTGTCAGGATACACTGGGTGGGACATTATACCACATGTCTGCGGCATCACCTTTAAACTATCACACTACAGACAACAAAGCGATATGACTGAAAAATTGTTAAAGCTACATTAAAAATCATAATCAGAGAGAGAGAGAGAGAGAGAGAGAGAGAGAGAGAGAGAGAGAGAGAGAGAGAGAGAGAGAGAGAGAGAGAGAGAGAGAGAGAGAGACACACACACACACGGTAATCTATTTAATTTTTGTTTTTGTTCTAGTTATATATTTAACCTATAATTATTTGGTTGGTCATGCATCTGACAAATCGACCAACGGAGAAACAGAGACTGACAACAAAAATACCCTTTGGCACTTATCCCTTAACCCTCTCTCTCTCTCCCTCTCGTTAATATTCATCTGCTGCAAAATTAAAATAAAAATGAAAAAAAAAAAAAAAACCCCAAAAAGCAATTTACTGACAAGTAATAGACAAGAGTCAAATATCAACTTCGGTGCGACTCGCAATTATAAGCACTAAAAGTGGTGTAGTCAGATGTTATAGGGACAATGGGAAGATACATTACAGATCCCACCCTACCTCTTTCGGATACTATATGGACAAATAATCACCCTGGGATAGTATAGGGACAATGAGAATTTTGCACAGGGGCAGGGGCTAGTTTTATTACAAATGTAATGTCGCAATCAGCGACCTAGTACAAAAAAATCATTAAAAAATCAAATACATAAGTGAGGTGAAAAAAGAACCATATTTTTAGATATCTATATTAAAACAAAGCATAAGAATATTTTTCTCTTGACCAGAGAAGAGAATGGCAGTCCATAGCATACGTTTATTCACCCTAACTCCAAATTTATACCTGCAATTTTCATTTCCGAAGATCATTTTTTACACCATGTGATGCTCACACTGCAAACACAAGCCCTTTTCCTAGATGATAATTCTGCAAAACAGTGTGTACTAAACAGGCTGAAGCAATTGAAAATTTTTGTCATCCAAGTCGTTTCTGAGATATTCTACTTAAGCCAAACCCACTTGTTTACTGCTATATCTTTAATTATCAAACAATAATAGCTGAAAATTTCACACCAAAGCCTTAAGTTAAGAAATTTACCAAGGCCTAATTAACGAAACAATACCCTGCCTTCATAGCCACAAGAGAAGAATGGAATAGGGGAGGCGATTTCATGGTACTGGACAGATTCAACAATGCAGCAATTACAGTGACGTCATGCCAACTGTGTCATTTCTATATAAAGCCTGAATCATTTGCGTTCGTGTTTGTAGATAGTATATGGCAAGTATCGAGACGTCATGCCACCTGTGTCATTTCTACATGAAGTTTGGATCATTTGCGTTCGTGTTTGTGGATATTATAATATTATACACAAATTATACAACTGACTAAAAATAATTAGATCAGGGAATAATGTTTTAGTTAGTAGAAAGGTACATTTTACAATCGAATAAACTTTTTAGACAAAGAAGACTAAATCTTTTCGGGTCAGTAGAGTGGCCCTGAAAAGGGCCTTTGGGTTCTTTTTCTTCTATTGTCTCCATTTTTCCATAAGCTCTTCACTTTTCCAATTCCTTTCTTCTTTTTCTTTTCTTCGTCTGGCATAAAGTCAGGGTGTCCAATCTCTCTAAACGTTTCCTGTACCTTCATCCAGTTTTTATTTAGTATTTCATTCTCTTCTTTCTATTTCTGCTTTCCTTCTTCTTTCTCTCTTTTCTCCATGTGTCTTTGATTTTCTTTACATCTTTCATCACTTTTCTCATTAGGTCTTCAGATTTCCTTAAGTTCTCTAATCCCAACAAGGCAAAGGACCACTCCGTAAAATTTGCTTGCTCTTCTAAAAAGCACCTCTCATGGATGACATTATTAAGTGCGTCCTCCAATGTCCCCACTTCTACATATTTACGATGGATAAAATCTCTTAACTTCTCCACCTCCTGTTCTATCATAGCTGCCACCTTATCTCTGGCTACTTTCAGGTTAGTGACTTGACTGGTCACACAGTCTTGGCTATCTGGATAGTTTAATTCCTGTTGTAGCCTTTTCACCAGGTAGGCTGCATAAATCATCAAAAAAAAACCTTTTAACTCGTTAAACAATTCCAGCTTGTGTTAACTAGTAAACGCAGAAAGCCAGATTGACTAGCGTTCCGAGCTATATTCTTCAAGCACGTACGTGAACGAAAACATCAATTGCACTCACCACACGTATTATCTACTACCCACACCAAGGAACGAGATTGCACAAAACATACCATATATATTATCAACACAAACGGGAAGAGAAGAAAACACACCATACCTACTATCTACACTA